CCAGTAATGTCCTCACAGCATTGCCAAATTTTCATTTTCTTCATGCAAATGTTTATCACCTCACGGGGCCTAATCGCGGGGACTCCGGCAAGGTAGGTGCGTGAATGTAGGCAGGCAAGGCTGCCCTCCTTGTTTTTCTCATCACCTTCCTGACGCCATCTCTGCTTCGATATGCACCATTAACTTAGGTACGTGTAGGTGAAACCGACTCATGCGCCCTGTGCTAGCCGCTGCAACACGCCAAGCGTGAACACCGCATGGCGATGATCAGGCTAGTGTGTACTGTGTGGGTTCTTGATTGTTTTCAAAGTTCGTATCCTTCTGAACCAGTGCAGCATTCTTCAGCCATCCTTCGAATTACCCTTGGCTCCTGATATGCGGCTTTTATCAGATAGGAGTCTTCCTTTTGGAGACGCCTAGCGAGGTTCGTTGATGGATTGTTGTTCCGTTCTATTCTGGATGTCACTCCTGTAATCTCGGGACCGGTGACCGTTATCAGAGCTCCGCACGCTCCTTTAATATCTTCCACGTCCAACAGAATCAATCAAACATGACAGATTGTCGCAATCTCTGGGCGAAACTACATCGACGGTTCTCTGGTATCGCGCTCGAGATACAAGAGAGCCATTACTACTGGAATGGAGTGTGGCATACCTGAAATTTCCGTTCTTCAAAAAAACGGAATCTGTAGGGACGAGGGAAAGTGCGCTGCGGTGTGTGGTGAACAAGAATAACCATCTTACCCCTGGACCGATAGTCGATGACATATCCATGTGAAGGCTCCCCACATCTCGTAAAGTGTTCACCACGGCCAGTTTTCAAGGACGGGTAAGTTAATGAAGATTTCCACATTCGACTGTTTGATAATGAAATGTGTTCATTAGCCTGACGATGGGCAGCACGAAGACGTGCGAGGAGCAGCCAGCCAATGCCCCGCGAGGCTATATTTATAGAAGCTTTCCTGTTTTCGTGCTGATTGATTATTCGGTAGCTTGTTGATGTTCTAAAATATCTCACAGGATTTTTTCTTCTGCGAATTGGAAGCGCCGTACGGTTTATGCATGGAGGGCCGTCAAGAAGCCTTGTTCTTCGAGTACAGCCGTGGCTCTGTCTACGCTGGGGAAACGGAAATCCTGGTGCTCCTACTGCTTTCTCTTTATAAGCATCTCTCTGATCTGATTGTGGATCGTACCTCAGTGGCGCAACATTCAACTTTACCTGCAAATCCTGAATTAAGAAGTCCTATCATTTCTCTCACACGCCGGGCCTACGGATGCAGTCATCACGTATGACCCTTTTATCGACCCGCAGATGGATATATAGCGTTTGACGGAAATTCATGATCGGGCGAGCGAGATGTCGCTTTCCATCCACTCCCAGTCTGAGCGTCAGACAACCTACTCCTCAGATTATTCCACCAAGGGGGTTGATATTTTGCCTAGCCTGGTTGACGCTCCTTACACGCACCACTTGATTGACGGTATGCAGGAGCCAGGCCAGAACGAGGTGGCGAAGCCATTGTATACCTCCCACTTTATGGACCGAACGGAGACAATGAGGGAGTCGCGGAACATGTATCTCAAGGTCATAGGGGTGGGGGTCGTGGCAATGATTATTGTCATGTTTTCTATCTTTTCGATATACTGGGGAGCGCTATGGAAGATTCCGGAGCGCAGTTTAGAGGGATGGGTTGTGGTGAGTATCGATACTCGAGCACACTCTATTCTTCTATACTGACAGGTGTTGAAAGGATTTTGATGACTCGACAGTGGGGAACGCTGTTGTTCAAGCCATGCTATCATCAACATCATCCTCAGGCATAGTGAGTTGGACGAATAAATCAGCGAGCGAGTTCCCTGGTGGGGTGGACGATGTCGTGGATGCGGTGCTGGACCAGCAAACGTGGGTAGCTGTTGTCGGTACGTGGTATTGACCATTGCCTATCAGAGCATGGGTTGATTTTTCTTATCTGATAGTTCATCCGAACACAACGAGGCTGCTGCAGTCTGCGGTCCTTTCTATGAACTCGTCATATGACGGTTCGACTGCGCTCACGGCGTACGCCGTTGAAGCCCGCAATGAGAATGCCTTGTGAGAAGTCTTGCCTTCCTCCGTAGAATCCAACTTAATTCCCTTCTAGTCGCATTTTGATTCGACCTGTGGTAGAAGGATTACTCAATGCAGTATCCCTTGGAATAGCCAAATCCTCCGTGAAACAGGTTGGCTCGTCCTATCCGCAAATAATGGCGAACATTTCTACCGCTGCCCCTCAAATATTGGCGCAACCCGTAGGATATACTCTGAATAATCTCCGGCCCTTCGACATTCCCGTGTATGTCTCTTCCTGAGCTTTGCTACTATTGACGCTAACGTCCACTGTAGTGCTAGTGCTATGACGTATGTCGGTCTTATCTATGTTCTGGTCCTAGCCTTCTTTATTGTCGTACGTTTCCAGTTTCTTCATTGGCAGCGTCGTCTGAACCTATTTCAAGAATTTTTCTGCCGCAGCTCGTGAGATGTCAGGACTAGAGACATCATTAACGACATGGTCCCTCATTTTCCTTCGATTAGTATCAAGCTGTGTCTCGTACTTCATGCTCGCCTTTTTCTACTCCTTACTATGTTTGGCCTTCAAAGTGGACTTTTCAAGGACGTGAGTTGGTCCCGCTCCTGTAATCGTTACCGTACCAACTCTGATTGATATGAAACAGACTCGGACGTTCGGGTTTTGTCGTGTTCTGGATGCTGAACTACGTTGGAATGTTGGCTGTAGGGTTATCTTTGGAAGCAATGATCACCCTGCTCACGGCAAGATTCGTCGGATTCTTTATGATATTTTGGATTATCTGTATGTTTTTTTATCTCGTGAGAGGCGGGGTTATGTACCTGACTGCGCTGCTTCAGCGAACGTGTCCGTGTGCTTCATGCCCCTGGAAGTCCTTCCAGGCATATTCCGTTATGGCTATGCTTTCCCCTTCTATAACGTGTCGGGGGCAGTACGGACAATCGTGTTCGGGACGAAGAACCAACGTGAGTGGTCGTCACGCTACATGTGTCTCCGCTCGCGCTAAATTGGGAGATATTTGTTTAGTGGGGTTGCAATTCGGTATCCTCCTCGCTTGGATGGGTGTATCTTTGATAACACTTCCTCTGTTTCAATGGCTGTTCCGACGTGGTGCCGTGGCGAAAACAAAGGCTGCGACTCACCGGGCTGGAGAGAAGGACTCTTAACATCTCTAATTGATCATTCTTTAGTATTGAATCAGTCGAAGTGTTCATATAATTTCTCGGTGCTCACCTATGACCTTTACAAGGTTATCAGGACGCAGTGCAGAATGCGTGGAACACTACGTTTTCAAGTTATCATCTTAGCTATCTAATACATGGTGGTCGTCATTCGTTAATTAATAAATATTATACCCCTGCGAGGAGGAGAGGGTCCGGATACTTCGGCCCGTATTCACTAGCTAATCGAGTACCATCGGCATCGTGACTCGTGGCTTCCATATAATGGACCGCGATGACAGACCAAGCTGGCCGTCGCTGTACGACCCCAGCCTCGAATTCTTCGAAATTACGAACCACGACGCTGAGCAGCCTGGCGCAGTATACCTCTACCGTTATGGCCAAATATTCAGCTTCACGTTATACTGGACTTTTGTTTTCTACACCCCTATCTTTATTGTCTGTGCTACCATTGCTTTCCTCAATGTCTTGTTCCCGTCTGGATGTATACACAAAAACGATCATGAGCCGGACGAGTATCCCTTGGTGGCGCTGGGCCCCACAAGGATGAAAAGATCGAACCCGCAGCGGTCGAGAGTCACTTTGGCGGCCATTGTGCTGCTGGTGTTCTTGGGCATCAGTGTCCTCAGCGTGGTATGTGGGGCAACGGTCGTCTCGCTGGTGTTGATGGAGCTGTTTCGGTCTGGCGGTTTTAGTCTCTCTACGTGAGTTCCAGTGTCGTCCTTTCGCGTTACGGTGCTGATGCAGAAGTCTCCAGCTGGGTGCCCTTTTTCGGCGCACTGATTCTCGTTCTCATCAGTCTTCTCAAGCGCGTATTTCATTACATTTTCTCAAATCTCTATTGATTATCTTGCAGCTCCTGGCCGTCTGTAATATATATAATTTAAGACACGATGCCCTTGAGGTGTCGACAGGCAGCTTCTGATGAAGTCTAGCTGTCCTCGAAATGGCAGGCTGGGCGCATTCAGGTAGAGGGACAGCATCCCGCACTTTGCTTCCAGTGCAGACTAGAGAACGTAGTTTCTTTTACATACCTCGAGGTGCGTCATTCGTAGCTCGTGCGAGTCATGCGACTCAGTATTAAGTTTACAGACATGTAAAAGCGAAGGTATTCCAAGATGAATGTCTCTTCGAGCGGTATCTTGGACCCCTTTCGGTTCGACCCTCCGGTACAGCTTTTTAAAGCAGTGTGTCCGGTGATCTCTAGGTGGGCATGCTTCCTTCTCACCTTCAGAGATGGTAGTTTGGTTCGAGAAGTAACGTGTCGTGAGGACAAAGCCTGGTACTCTGATGTTGCTGCCTTTTTCAATGTGACTTCATTGGCAATTGCCTGCTGCCTTTCTGTACAGTGGGCGATCATGACGTGCGCTGCGCTGTATGCAGCCACATTCCTCACAGTTTCCAATCAGAAAGTATAGTAAGGAAATCTGAGCTTAATGTTAATCCGTATACAACTGAGGGTAGAGGCGGAGGCTCGCCAGACGAAGCTTGTGCATCCTAGCATCGAAGAATACTGTACAAGCATCTGGATGGGCGAGGATGTCTCTCAAATTTTCAGCCTCCGCCCTGCAACGGGATCATTTCAGCAGTCTCATTCCCTTGTCAGTCCCTGCCACATGGAATGAAGCGGCAATTCTATGCGGTGCCTGGCAAGATGTGGCGGTGCTAATGAGTTTTCAAGAGACCTACGGGAAATACTCTTACTATTGGAACCCGCATTTACAACAAATAGAAATCGAAGAGATTGCAAGAGGGTACATATGGTGTAGATGGTTTATCACGTCCTGCTTAACATTTGTAGTAGGCGTAGATATTGCGGTGTTGGGTTCAAGTCCCAATGTGTCCAGTTGCTTTGTAACTTTGATGTTTTTGACAACTAGAATATAGAAAGCTGTAGCCTCGTGTATATGGACCCTTTAGGCATTCCATCGTGATTTGCATCTATCCTCACAGTACATATATTCCCCCCTGTCTTATCCATAATTTCATTTCATAACGACCCTCCGTGCATGTCCAGTAGGTGACGGTGGAGAGAGGGACGGAGGAGCGCAACTCGCTCCACGTGGTCCGATCGCGATCATCTGATAACGATCGATGTGGCTGTGCTCCGCTGCTACCACTCGTTGCTAGTGACGTCGTTCCGTTTCTGTTCAGGAGCACTGACGACTAATAAAACCTACTTCCTTCCTTCCTTCTACGGATGCCCCGAGGACTCACATATGAAAGTCAGGTCTTCCCTAAACATGAATTGGCACCATGGTCCAACAACGTTTGCAATGGTCACCAAGACCGATATCACTTTACTTACTTATCTGCAGCGGGCCTGCGGTAAGCCATTATTTAATGTTGACATAGATCAGCACACGTTTATTCACCCACTTCCACCGCTCCACTGGGTGCCTATTTGGGTCCGAGTCTTGGCACTAATACACATTTACGTGGCAGACATTTGAGACACATCCACTGTTGTAGCAAGTGTGCTGACGCGGTTGAATATGACTTGTCTCAAATATTCTCGTTATGGAGGACTTAAATTACATGGAGAGCTACCTATTTGTAATCTTTTCGACTTTATACGATTAGTGAGGAGCACAAATCCTTTGTTATAACACGAGAGTTCTAATACAGTACTTTGGTACAGCATATCATGAATCGTGCTGCAGATATAGCCGATATCTCAAACATTAGACGCATCAGTGATTGTGCACATAGCAGTTCCCTAAGAATCAAAATAATCTTTCATTCTGACAGAAGCCGGCGAGGCAGGATGGCCAGTCGTCCAAAATAATCATAAAACGTTTGAACGTAATGCTGTTCCCATTCGACCGAAATCCTCGATTCCTTCTCCAGTGCCTCTGGCAGAATCTCCATCACTTCGCGCCGCGGAGGATACACCCTTCCTTCCATGAGCTTCCTCAAGTCTTTAGCTTTTTGAACCTTTGACTCCAATGCGTTGACGAGATCCCGTAGTTGGCTAGAGTGGATTGTGGTGACGAGAAGGCATCAGGGAATCACCACCTGACTTTTGTCTGCCGTTCTATTCTGAATATGCTGTCTGCTTGGAAGTGTTCATCTTCGGTCGCTTGCGATCTGAGTGACCTGGCTGCGGCTCTAACGTCAAGGGATAGAAGCTCGAAACGGAAATTTAGCTCGCACATCTCCCATACAAGCTCCACTGCCTCTTTCTTCTCTATCGGAAGGTTAAAGTCGGAAACATTGAGGTGGTAACTCACGTCATGGCCATCAGGGGGCGATCCCAAGAGTTCTTCGACTTGTTTCTGAATCCCAAATGCAGTCGATGCTTTCAAGGGAATACCGAGAAGATCAGCGCCACTCTTCAGAAGAAAGTGGATGAGCACCCAGTTTGTTGCAGCTCGCCCTGTACTTCCAAAAAGCACTGATTTCCTTCCACATATGAAGATATGCCATGCGCTCGCGGTCATAAAGGTCAAGAAAAAGATGCGGATCAGGGAAGAAATAGCTGGCATCGGAAGGAAGATGTTTGCACGGTAGAGATTTGGCTGAGAATCGGGTAACTTTTACCACGTTTGCATGGAACCATGAGTTTATGGCAGGGGGAGCATAGTCTCCAGTCAGCTCCAAGAGTCTATCGAGGTGTTGGGACGGATCTGGCACCAAGTCGAAAGTCAGAACACAGCGTAAAAGGATAGTCGTTTGGAGGAGGTGCAGGTATATAGACAGAGTTAGGTGAAGTGATGAAGCCATCGCAGTGGAGGTGAAGAGCACCACATAGCCTTGCTTTTTCCGTAAGGATTACTTCTGTAGACGAAGGGGTTAGATTATTGCGAAGATTTTCCAGGTATAGACGCACGGCGGTTAGGGCTTGGGCTCGAATCTTCGCAGATATCTGGAGTTCAAATAGACGGTATGAATAGGACCGACTCTTTTGTGTCCCGACTAGCCAGCGAATTACAATGAAACGGTGTTTAGTGGATGTGGTCAGGCCGTATTTATTAATTCTAGCAACTTCTTTGGAAGTTGATATGCACCTTATTTTAGCTTTAGTTTGTGTCATTAAGCCACGGATATATATAGGCACCTATAAGCGTCTTTGGAATCCAAAGGACTCTAATGTGAACTTGAGACCTTTGGCAATCAAAACACTCAAGACTTCGTAGCGACCTAGTATGATAGTGTCCACAAGAATTTCTGAAGAGGTCAGAAAAATCTGTCGAAGAAAGCCTCAGGTCCAAAAAAAAACACGTAGCGTCGTGCTGCCGAGTGACAAGGCCAACACGGAAAGTTCAAAGTTGCAGTTCGTAGCGACGCTGCCGGGCCGCGGCATTGCGGCAATGGTGACGACCTCAGGAATCAACTGTGCCAAACAAACACATCACTTTTCTTCTTTTTCTTCTCAATGTCTTCTTCCTGAAACTATGTCAACTGGATCCTAGGCTCGGTGACCTGTGTGTAGGATTTCATCATGGGCATATATGCTTCTCCTTCCGATGCGTCATCTGACAAATACAACGAAGTCTAGCCACGGATCCAGTCCGTGGCAACCATTCAGGTTTCAACATCGTATCGTGTTCGATACCTTTCGTGAGTGCGGTACAGATATCAACATCTTTTTTATCCGTTCGTGTAATTGGTATCTTACGCGCTCACAAGAAACGTGAGACCCAAATTCAGCCCGAAATCTTGAAATAGTGGTGTACAGCCTCAGTCAGTTTATATCATCAACAATACGAGGAGGATTTGATTCACCTTGTAAATTCAATCGTAACTGCAGGTATGTTTTAGATTTTTCCTTGTTATCTTTGCTTGAAATGACACCACATTGCAACAGAAATTCGATTACTCCTGACAGCGCGGAGAAGTACAGCATAAATACTACCTATAACCAGGGTACATCCGCTTAAATTTACAATCAAATGACTTTCAAACGCGCTTCGGAACAAACTGTTTATTTCGCTGGGCATTGCCCTCCAATGCCCAGAGATCTTAGAGCCGAAAGAAACATCAGCATTTTTCTTTGTCTCGTGATCAAGTATCTATCCTATACCATTCGACAAAACTAAGAACATCCTCGCGGTTCCTATGATACCCCGGAGAGTATGACCCTGACGTTTCTTAAGAAAACGACGTACCCCGCACAAGAAAGTCCCGGTATATTCAAACCGATGGGTGCGACTTTCAAATTCGAGTGGCGTCGATGGCGCAAATCCACAAATTCTAGGTTGAGGTGCACTGCCTATCGATCTCGAAGTCCTGTATCGACCGCTGTCTTGCCGTTTCATGCTCGCATGCTCGTGCAATGGAATGGCCTGAGCTCTCCGATGCCAAGACATACAGCTTGACAATATATATATAACCGACGTACAGTCGTCGATTCCTTCAGCTCGCTTTTACATCATGAAATTCACAGCTTTCTTCTCGCTCATCCCCGCCCTCGCCGGCACTCTTGTCGCTGCCGGGACGTTCAACTCTCCAACCTCCGGCCAGACGATCTCTGCGAACGAAGTGAGCCTTTGGTTTTTCTCCCCCTCATAGCATACTCACAGTATGTAGCCGTTCAACTTGACCTGGTCCTCTGGTCGCTACTTCAAAGAGAACTCGATCTCCATCACCGTGCTCCTGACCGAAGGGGAATACGCCTCCAAGCTCTACGGAACGACACTGGTGAAGGACCTACAACCCACGACGACGGGTCTCTACAAATACTACTCCGACCTCACGCCGTCCTTCTTCTACGGGTCGGGGAGGTCTGGCAACTTCCAAGTCGTGGTTCTTGAAACATATACTGCTTACTCAGTATGTCTCTAATCATCACTTCATATAAGTCTACTGATCTCCCTGTGTCCAGGGTATTCCTGCAACGAGTACGGAGACACTGGATGTTGTCATTGCTTAATGTATCTTTTTTGTGTTTTCATTTGAGCGGACAATACGTTTTCTGCATTTATGTGTTTATGTACAAAGTACATATGGCGACGGCATCTACGGTCGCCTGAATTTATGTCAGTTCTGCCCTCCTTCGCGCACCGGATATACACAGTCTATGAGACAGATAAGGCCAAGATACCTTTAGGCGTACAGTAACCCAAACCAATCCCAATTGCCCACCATCGCACACGTAGCACGCGTATGGCGATGATAGGACCAAGGGACTGCCCGTTTGTACGAGAACACCTGCTCTCAGCGAAGAGTGGCGAGCCGACTTATATCCTAAACGTGACATATTGTCTTCCAGATGAAAAAGGCAACAACAGAGCTGGGAATGTGTTAGGCTTGTAAACGTATGTGTAATCATATACCGTACCTTGCCGCATCCCAACTGCGTCATCCAACTCGAGAAGAGAGCAAAAAGTTATGTGGCAACAAGTTATGGAATAGTTGCTCTTGTATCCAGACTCGCTAGGCGGCTCTGCACGATTCAGATGGGTAAAGCGAAGGCGGCAGATTCATATCGCACTAAGACCAGTTCCCATAAGGAAATAATTCAGGTGCACAACCTGTGACATCATAAGCATTCCTTTCAGGACCACGGAAGGAAGCTGATCTTGGACGCTAGACAGTGGGCATCATGACGGAAATCCCATCGGCGTCCAATGCGATACTGACGATCCAAGCGCACGAGTAGCGAGGGGAGGGATAGGGGATATATCTACGGCAGCGTTGTAGTGAAACGCCCCGAGACGTCAGCAAGTCCATGACAACGACTGTTGAACCGTTGACTGGAGAAGCGCGAATAAGAGCTGGTCGGAACTTCAGCTTGTGATCCTGGATTCGAATGTTCCGGTGAGAGAATACTTGAGAATCGAAAGTGACGCTGTTAATTCGACATGTTAACAACAATGCAGCAGAAAATCACCGATATTACCG